TAAATGTCATACTGAATATAAGTGCATGGTGAAAGAGCCAAAGTAGTTTTGATGTTAAAAAAAAAATACTTAGGTAATAAAACCATCAAGACAAACAGGGAATCCAGCAGGGATTGGCAAGGTCAGCGGTACTGGAATTGTTTTATGTACACGCTGTACCTCCCCTTCTTACAGGTATGCATTACACTGTGACCTTTGCAAGTCCTTCTACCCTGTCCTATCCTTCTTACAGCATTGCTCTAAGTATCAAATAGAATACCATAATGCATGTGAAGGACTTTTTGAAAACTGGGAAGCACTTTAAAGTTTAAAGTGTAATGACTCCTTTCCAAGGCATCACACAGAACACATCATTTTAACTATTAAATGAAATAACCTTGGATAAAATTGTTCAATAAGCAAAGCCTATCTGAAGTGATTTTATTTTTTTCTTACCTTGCAGTATAAAAAACCAATACACACATGCATGCACACACAACACCTACTATATGCAGTCCTATTTATCAGTGACAAAGAGTAAGAACCTTCCACACAGGCCGCCAAATCCTGGGCTATTTTAATGTCTTTATACACTTCCCATCCCCAACTCCTAGGTGCTCCTTACTCATGCTGTTCAATCTCTTAATTGATTGATTTATTGTTATATGTATGCTCATATATTTATTGATTTATCTTTGAAATTAGAATTTAACAAACACATTCTGAGCTGGAGGTCACTAATTCTAGTGACCTATTTAAAATTTTTTCTTAGCACACACACAGCTATAATGCAGTAGAACAAAACCAAAAACTCCTGAAAGAAAAGAAGACAACTACAGCTCATGCTAAGAAGAACATCCAGAGGAGGAAGATCCCAGTAAGTAGTGGAATGGGCCAAGCGAGTAGCCCTCCCAAGCAGACAGGGAGAGCCTCAGGTGGGCTGGTGAACCCTGTATACAGCAAAGTACAAATCACAGTGATCTTATAGAATAACCCTTTATAGATGTTGGCAAGCTCTGGGATGTTATACAGAAATAGACCTCTGCAGACATCAGCACAGTTTTGGTGAGCTCAAGGAAGGGGCCTGAAGGCAGACCCACCATAACCGGCTCCCTGCAGATACCAGCAAGGCTTTGGTGAGCTCCAGAAAGAAACCTGAAGGTGGACATGCTATATCAGTCCTCACCACAGACATCAGCACAGTCTAAATAAATTCATACTGATGAGACTAAACTCAAATAGTATCTTTGGAAGATGGCATCAGAGGAAGTCCCCTGCTTGTTACAGGAAGAATAAACTAAAAGAAGTCCAGATGGGCACTGGCCTTAGAAGATCCTATGATGTAGGGGAAACTCAGATTACCTAACAATTATTGTGAACCAACACTGAGAACAACAAAAGAGATGGGGAAGAAATTAAATTCTGGGCAAAACAAAAGGATGAGTAGGATAAGAGGCTGCTGCCAGGATGGAAACTGCAGTTTATACCCACAGCCAGGGAGGATAAAACTGATTCTATGGATCTCTCTGGGGGAGATATAGGTGAGAGTGCTGGGGTAAGCCAGCAAGACAGAGCTCCCAGTAAGGAAGACAAAGCTCATAAAGGTGCAGCTCCCTATACCCATTTCCCCCAGAAGCAGGCAGATACAGTTATCAAAAGGACATAAAGAAATCATTTTGGAATACAGCAAGTCTGTACTGAAAATTCAGCCTTCAGAGATGTGATCAGAAGCCAGAAAGGAGGGCTATCAGCAATACCACAGGCACAAACCAAGCCAACATACACTATCACCAACAATGTACCCCTCCAAAAACAACCCTCCTTGCACTGAAGATCCAGCTACAGATTAACTTCACATGACATAAATCACCATCCACTGGACATGAGGAAGGTCTGCACCCTTAATATTTAGAAAGCAAATAATAGGGAGATTTTAAAAAGAAAAACAGCAACTAGAGTCCTCAGTGGAAAACTACACCATGGAGAATGAAAAAAATCTTGAGAACCTATGATAATGCAAAAACAGATACAAAAAAAAAAAAAATGAAGAAACATTTTGAGAAGTATCCAACTCTCAGTGAGGAAAGGCAATGTAACAATATGGGTATCCCAGAGGGGTAAGAGAGAAAGAAGGGAACATAAACTTACTTAAAAAAATAATAGAGGAAAACTTCCCAAACCTGGAGGAAAAAAGAAATACACAAGTCCATGACGCTAAAAGGATACCAGGGTACCTAAATAGAATGAGACCTATACCAAGACACATAGTAGTTAAATTTCTGAAAATTAATACAGACTATTGAAGCTGGCCTGGGGAAGAAGCAAATAACCTATCTGCTAACCTCACTCATGTTTACTTCTGACTTCTCTGAAGAAACAGCAGGGGCCAAGAGAGAATGGAACGACATGATCTAAATATTTAGAGACAAAAGCAGCCAGTCAAGAAAATTATCCTGGAATACTCTTCCTTAGATATGAGGGAGAAGAGAAGGCATTCTCAGAAAAACGGGAATTTATAAACAGCAGACTTCCCCACCTCCAAGAAGTGTTGCAAGGAGCTCTCACATCTAAATCAAAGACAACACCCACAAAGAACTGAACAAGAACATAAATAGAACCACAAAATTAAGGGCAAAATGACCACAGCGGATTTTCATATACCAATAACCACTCTGAATGTAAATGGAGTGAACTCAATTAAAAGTCAATGTCTGATTGGATTAGAAAACAAACTCTAACTTTCTGTTGTCTCCAAGAAATTCACCTAAGCTCCAAAGATAAACATAGGCTCAGAGTAAAGGGTTGGAAAATGATCCTAGGAAGGAATGGGACCCAAAGGAAGGTAGGGACAGCCATACTTTTATCAGGTAAAATAGATATCTAGCTTTAAAAGGTAGCAATATATAGAGATGGACACTATGTAATGATAAAGGTAATAATACACCAGGAAGACATATACTCATTAATATATACTCACCAAATGAAGGAGTATTAAAATTTAAGGTGATTACTATTGAATCTGAACATAGATATTGAGAAAAACACATTCGCCGATGGAGACTTTAACACTCCACTTTCACCAATAGACAGATCAACCAGACAGAAAATATATAAGGACACAATAACTTTAAACAAAGAATTAGACCAAAGGTAAAGAAACTTGTCACTAAAACAAAAAGACACCTAATTGATGGGAGAAAATATTTGCACACCGTACAATCAATAAGGGGCTGATATCCAAGGTCTAAAATGAACTGATGCAACTCAACAAAAAGAAAACTGAAAATGCAATCAAAAAGTGGGCAGAAGTGCTAAATGGGTGCTTCTTTATCCATACAGATGACCAACAGGCACATGAAAAATATGCTATCATCACTTATTGTCAGAGAAATGCAAATCAAAATTACAATGAGATACTATCTCATACTGTGAAAAGGGCCCACATCAAAATCACCAGAAACAAGTGTTGGTGAGGATGTGGAGAATTAAGGTATAAACTCTTACACCACTAGTGGGAATGTAGACTCGTCCAACCCCTGTGAAAAGCACTATGGAGGTTTCTTAAAAGATTAAAATTAGTTCTACCATATGAGCCAGTAACTCCATTCCTAAGTATCTATGCAAAGAATACAAAAACACTGTATTCACTGCACGCTGTTTACAACAGCCAAACTATGGAAACTCCCAAATGCCCCAAAACAGAGGAATGGATAAGGAAGATATGGTACATAGACACAACAGGATACTATCAGTCACTGAAAAATATACTATTGCCATTTTCCACAACATAGGTGGAGTTGGAGGGGATTAAGCTAAGTGAAACGTCAGTGGGTGAAAAACAAATACCAGATGGTGTCACTTATTTCTGGAATATAGAGAAACAAAACATGGGCCTCATAAAACCAAACCAATCACAAACCCTAGAAATTGTAGGGTAGAATTGAGGCTACCACAGTGGAGAGAAAAAGGGACCTGGAAGAGAACAATGTGGGGAAGGTGCACAATGGACTATGGGGATGAATGGTGGGTGCTTTGGTGGTGGGTATCTTGTAGTAACAGCATCTGAAGGGGGAGATCCTATACCTTTAAAACATAAATATTGTAATCCAATGTTACTTTGATAATATATATTCCGGTATATAAACACACACACACACACACACACAATTTGTTCCTCGCAGATGATTAAGGGCAAATGGCCTTTGTGTTCCTGAGCCAATTTTAAAGAGGGCAGTCTTGGGAGGCCCTTCCCACGCTGTGCCCTCCCAGCTATTGATGAGGTTTTGTGTTTAGCATTTTACAAGGTATTAAATCTGGGGAGTGCAATAGAATGTATATGTCAAAGATTCATTGTGCCGTGCATTGGTTTTATATGGTTTTCTGTATTTGTGCTCTAAACAATAAGTCAAAAACAAATAGCTCTTCTTCCAAAATTCACACAACTTGCTCACTACTTCACAAAGAAATCTGTGCAGGTGCAGGCCACGGGGAAAATCCGAGGGACCGGGGTTGTCGGTCACTGGAGAGGCTACCCTTCCCCTGTCTCAGGCCTCAAAGTAACCGCTTGACCAGCTCCAAGAGGGCAAAACAACTTACGACAATAACGATAACAATAACGACGAAGACAATAGCCATCCCCCTAAGAAAGCTGAGAAAGAGACTTGGATCCGCCAAATAGTAGCGAACACTAAAAATCGCATTCCCGCGGAGCCGCCATACCTGGGGCTGCGTGGGCGGCGGGCAGCCCGGCCCTCGCGGCACCCTTGGCTGCCCCCTTCGAGGCACTGGCCGGGGTGGGGGGCGCGCGGGGGGGGGCGGAAAACGGAGCCCTGTGGGCGGGGCGCGGGGCGGGGCGGGGCCTGGAGGTGGGGCGGGGGGAGCCTGCGGCAGAGGGCGGGGCCGCAGCGGGGAGGGCGCGGGCGGCTGGGCGGGGCGCGCTCAGGCCTCGGATCCTCACGCGCGCCACTCGGGGCCTCAGATCCCGCGCCGCTGGGAGCCCTGGCGGCCAGAGCGGCCCGGGAGCCGACGCAGCAGCCGGAGGAGGAGCCGCGGGTGCTGAGGTAGGCGCCGGGACGTCCGCGTGCGGCCCGGACCCCGCGGCGCCCCCGGCCTGGCCCTCAGGTGGTGGCGAGACCGGGGGCGGCGCGCGGAGGCCCGGGCGGGCGGGGCGGGGCTGGAGGCGGAGACCGGCCTGGCCGAGGGGCCGCGCGGCGCTGGCCCGGCTGGCGGAGCCCGGGCGGTCGCGGGTGGGCGCGGCGCGAGCGCCTCTGCGCGCCCGGCCGGGGCCCGGGCCGGGGCTGCCGGGAGGTGTGGAAACCGCCCACCCCGGGGGGCCTCGGCGAGGGGGGGCGGGGGCGTCGCGGCCCCTCCCACTTTCGGGGCCGGTTCGCCCGCGCAAGCCCCGGGAACTTGGTAATGGGAAAGCTTGGCAGGGAGGCAAATGCCAGCGCTTTGGAAGAACTGAGAGTCACGTCGTTAGGCGCTGAGGCTTTATTTTCCTTCCCCGCCCCCTGCCCTACCTCGGTCCGACTTGGCCAAAGAAGGATGTGTCACCGGCTCGCGGCCGCGGGCGGGAGCCTCCGCTCGGGGCAGGCGCGAGCACCTGAGACAAAGGTGAACGCAGGCCGCGCCGACCCCGGCCCGGCCCCGCGGCCGCCCTCGACCCAGCCGGGCGGGGTCGCTCCCGCGCCCACCCCGGCCGCCGCCGCGGGGACCGACCTCTCGATGGAAACCAGCTGGCGGGAGCTGGAGTTGATGTTGCATCTGAACTCTGATGTGCTCGCATTATTCCCAGTTCTCCGAGTCTGGTAAAGCTTAAGGAAATTCTATCCGATTTTAGTGGCCAGCAAATGTCAGGAAGGGTAAATTGCTTTTTGTAAATTATAAGGCATTTTCTTACTAGCAGACGGTCTGAAAACACGAAATAAAAAAATTTTAACACGTAAGCAAGAAGGAGCGACTTGTAGTACCTACCAAAATGGGAGGAAGCGTTCCTCTTCAAATCATTTATCTACAAAACATCCCCCAAACCGTTGGTGCCAGGCATTTTTCTTTGTTCTTCATTAGTCTCAGGCCTCGGTTTCTTGTAAACAGAGCACCCAGTGCGAGACCCTAAGAATTGCCATACTAGGTCAGATCATGTGCATCTAGCTTTTGTGGTAGGGAGACAAGCTTTTCTTTCTTGGTAATACCATTGGAAATTATCTCAATTTCATTTCTTTCAGCAGTATCTATGACTTTTAATGAGAGCCTTTTAAAAATCTGAACCATTCCTAATTTATACATAAAACTTATTCACATTCATTGCATCCAAATGCCTCGCCTATCCTCTCTGGCAGAAGAATTTATTGCATGAGATACTTGTGGGAAAAACTTGGATCTCTTACACAATCTGGGAGCTTAATGTTGAGGTCAAGGGAAACCCATTTTTAAAAATCGAAAGCTTTGGAGAAATCTCTACCAGAACCAACGTGGCTGTGAGTTTAAAACTAGCTTTATCTGCTAACAAAGTGAATATTAAGCAGTTAAAGATTTATTTATATTCATAACTATTTGCATATTTTTAAGTGCACCTTAATAGCCTGGAGAGTGGAGAGGCTATCTGACTTTATCTTAGTCTGAATTAATTTGATGTTAATGTTTAGCTGAAACTGGCTGCCCTAAGCGAATGAAACTTTTGTTTCAGTAAGAAGGGAATAAAAATCAAAATCAACAAGCTCTATAAACCAGAGACACACTACAGGGGAGGGAGGAATGAGTAGGATCAAAACAAGGGGGTGGGAATTGTATGGGGACTATAACCAAGATGAAAATGCATACATTGTGCAAAAATGAAAAATGATGTAAAAGTATAAAATAAAATTTTAAAAAGAAGGGAATAAAGGAGATAAATAATTTTGAACTATGGGTATACTTGAAAGAGGCACCTGTTCAAACCATAACTTTACTTTTAAACTCTTCAGAGACTCCTTATGACCTATGGCAAAGTCTCCATTGATATGCCCCTGCCACCTTTCAACATGCAGCTAAAGCTTTACCTCCTTTCTGAATCTTTTCTTGACCTCCTCACTCCCCAGCCAAAACCCTATGTCTGGAGTAGAATTGATCATGGGTTTGTGAATTACAATTCTCTGTCTAAATCAGGGGGTTTCATCCATGGTACTATTTCACATTTTGAACAAGGTAATTCTTTGTCGGGGAGAACTAAACTTCATTATAGGGTGTTGAGCGAATTCCTGACCTATCCTCCCCCTCCAGTTGTGACAGTTGTTTGACAGTAACACAACCACACAGGTTTGGCAATCAAAAATACCTCCAACGGGCCTCCCCAGTGGCGCAGTGGTTGAGCGCTGGGTTGTGAAGCTGCCCGCAGCCTCTGCAGCGCCGGTTTGATCCCCGGCTGCTCCCCGGCCACCGGAGGAGGGTCCCACATGGCACACAGACCTCTCCTGCTGCCCGCTGCTCCCCTCAGCAGTGTACTTCGGTCCTTCTGCCTTCTCTGCTCCCTGCTCTGGCTCTGGTGAATTCTCTCACCCTCCGCCGCTTCAGACTGTACCCAGTGCTTGTATAAATAAATAAATAAATCTTTAAAAAAGAAAAAAAATACCTCCAGCATTGTGAGATGTCCACCTTAGGAGGGCCATAGTCACCCTTGTTGAGAAGCCCTGTTCTAAGCGAACTGACATTGCATTGTCCTCATTTGCTTGTGTGTCAGTTTTTTATGTGCTAGATTTGAGGGCAGAAGAGTCATTAATTTATTTGACAACTATCTGTAGGAGGCCTTACCTTGTCAGCTAGATACTAGTTTAGGTATGGGGTACCTTATTAAAAGCAATTGATGTGGTTTCTATACTCCTGGACATTGCAGTCTAAAGAGAGACATACAAGTATAGTTATACAATTACCTCATTATAGTTGTGATAAATTCTAGGAGAAGTATAGAGTGCTCAGAGTACATACAACAGGGGTCCTGCACTGTTTTTCCTTAGTTTCCAGTTTCTTTGGGAAATGACCTTGAAGGTGAGGTAGACACGAGAATAAAAGAAGTTAGTAGATAAAGCTTAAAGGGATATAGTCCAGCTGAAGAAACAGGACCTTTTATAGGAACCAGAGGCCAGTGTGGCTGGAGCATGAAGAGTGAGCAAGGTGACACAAAATGAAGCTAGGGAAGTAGGCAAGGGCAGTTACTGCAGGCATTCTATACAGCCCTCTTATCAGAGTCACAGGAGGACCTTAAACCACCACCAGTGCTTGGAACATCCTCATTAAGTCAACATATCTACCTGTAGTGGGGCCTACTCCTTCCTTCACCTGCCATTTTCCCTACATCTTCCAAAGGGATAACCACTGTTACTAGTTTTGTGTATCTTTCTAGACTTTCTGTAGGCATTCAAGCAAATGTTTATCGTATTTCCTCATATTTTTTACACAAAATGGTATACACACTACTGTATCCTGCTTTGTTCTCTTAATGTCTTGGAAATCTTTCCATTTCAATATATAGGTCCCTTTTTTAAAAACAAATAACTGTAATATTCCATCATATAGATACAACACAGATTATTTAACCATTTCTTTGTTGCTGTTAAATAGTTTCCAGTAGTTTACTATAACAAACAGTACCATGTATGTGCTAGTTCACCATTGTGTGAATATATTTGTAGGATAAATTCCTAGAAGTTGAATTGTTGGGCCAGATATGCACACACACGTATTTGTAATTTTTTTTTTTTTTTTTTTTTTTTGGTAAAAAAATTACTTTGGTGAGGGGCCTCCCCTGGTGGCGCAGCGGTTGAGCGCTGGGCTGCAAAGCTGCCCGCAGCCTCTACAGCACCGGTTCAATCCCCAGCCACTGGCGAGGGTCCCACATGGCACGACAGAACTCTTCTGCCGTGCCCACTGCTCCCCTCAGCAGTATGTTTCGTCACTCTGCCTGTTCTGGTCCCCGCTCTGGCTCTGGTGAATTCTCTCACCCTCCCGTGCTTCTTACTGTACCCAGTGCTTGTATAAATAAATAAATCTTTAAAAAAAAAATTACTTTGGTGATATTGCAGAGAATGGTTTGGAAGGAAAAAAGAGTGAATGTGGGATACTGCTGACCCTAATTAATGTTACTGAGAGTTATGTGATAAATTGTATCCCTCCAAAATTTATGTTTTGAAGCCCTAACCAGCAGTGTGACTATATTTGGAGATAGTCTTTAGGAGGTCATGAGGTTGGAACTCTAGTGTTATAGGATTGATGACCTTATAAGATCAGAAGGCACGACAAGCTGTGTGAGCGCACAGTGAGAAGGTAGCCATCTGAAAGCCAGGAAGACCAGAAATCTGCAGGACCTTGATCTGGGACCTCTAGCCTCCAGAACTGGGAGAAATTAATTTCTATTGAAACCACCCAGTCTATGGTATTTTAATAAGGCAGCCTGAGCCTACTAATGCACCGTAGTAAGGTAGGAGAGACAATATGGTAGCTGTATCCAAGGTGGTAGCAGATGAGATGGAATGAAGTAGATGGATAGAAGAAACTTTGTGACAGGATTTGGTGATTTGTATACCAAAGGGCAAGTCTAGGCTGACTCCAGGAGTTCTGCCTTGCCTAGTCAGGTGAATGATGGAGTTGTTACCTGAGATAGAAAACACTGGTTGATAGTTTTGAGATAGGCTTAAAACACAGTTCACTTTGTGAATGGTGGGACCTTCAAATGGTGATAGCTATTATGTAAACATTTGGTAGTTAAAATCCAGAAACTCTGAGGATTGGCTGAATTGGGAACACAGATTTTTAGGTATACAAGGAAGGATATGGATGAAACTACATAAAGCAGAGATTGCAAATCAGCAGCCCACAGCTGAATCTGACTTGCAGATGTGTTTTTATTTTCCCCAACAATTTCCTGACAACAATTTTGTTGTCATTTAATTTTGAGTGAAGCTGCCAATAATTTAAAATCTGAAGATTTCCCATGAAATCCATATTTGGGGCTTTTTAAAAATGAGATGTAGCACTACTGAGCTGACTTTCCCATATGACAACAGTTGGTTAGGGCTAAATCCCAGCTGTT